ATTGAATAAAATCGTGTCACTTTTTTAGTGAAATAATTTGTAACACTGCCTAAAGTAGCTGCAGCATTGAATTTTTTAATAAAATAGAAAATTTCTTACCACTAGACAATCCTAAAATGACTAACATTTGGACTGTTTTCTCCTAAAATAATCATGAATTGACTAGGCAGGTTACAGTTTATTTTGCATTTCACAGCATATATATTTTAAATAAAATAAAAGGTCGATCAGTATAACAATTAAACTATTGATTCATCTAGTAGCGGTTTCTTGATTGAAACTAATAAATGTTCATCTGTAATTAAACTAATCTCATGATATTTCTTGTATGTAATCTCTAGAAAGACCAAAATTCATTCAACATGCTGCCAATGATGAATCCTGCCAGTAACCTCCAGAAACCCACACTATACATTCAAAAGTGATAAAATCCTTGGCACACATTATTACATCAGAAGGGGCTTGAGTCGTACATTAAAGGGATGTATGCACGTATTCTTTCTAAGTACAGTCGATTGTTCTTATTCGATTTAGTTGTAACATGATGTTTTTACGTATTGTATAGTATTAAATAGATCCTTAAGCACCAGCAGCTTTCTCCAGAGGCTGTCCATCATTTGACTTTGAACGCTTTTTCTCATAATCTTTGACAGCCGCTTTTATTGCATCCTCAGCAAGCATGCTGCAATGGAGTTTCACGGGAGGAAGAGAGAGATGTTTGGCAATTTCCCTGAAAAAGGGAAAAAAAAAAAAATCAATAGATGTTATTGAGTAACTAGATTGAGTCATTGAAATAAACTTAGATGAAAAAACTTGACAGAGTAACTAGATTGACATAAACAATTCAGATTTGATACAGTTCTCTAATCACAAATCCACCGTATTACTAATCGCATATGAAGAACTTCACAGAGTAACAAAATTGACACAAGACAAATCAGATTTGCTACCACGATTTACAGATGATGGGAAGGCCCGCACATCCTTGTAAAATTTACATCTTATGAGCAGTATATGAAAATTTCTATAAGTTCAGTTTATTTTTGACCTGTAAACGTAAAGACTATTTACTTTAAGAGGAATCGTCTTGGAGTTGGAAAATAAAAGTGCAAATAATACTGCACATACATACTACAAAAATATGATCCGAGTTCAGGAAGCACAAGTATAGACTATAGGAAACACTGAGTGGCTTCTCTATTTCATTGTATAAATATCACGGCTAGTCGATGACATCAAATGGAACAAGAATATCAGTCCGACTTACGTGTTCTTGATTGACAGGACTTCCTCCATTTGTTTACCTTTCACCCATTCAGTTGCTGCAATAAATAAAAACATTGTCTTAGTAATATTACACAGACAACTCAAGAGACAGCCACATGTCAATAAAGAGATTTAGAAAGGCATATATATAGTAATATCATCACATAAACTCTTATGAATATCAAAGTTAAGCTCTACTAGTCAATATTCAGTGCCGCAATCACCACTTCAAGAAATTTAGATATATAGTGAATAAAACAAACTAAACAAGACAAAACAAATAACCAAACACCATCTCATGATAAGGATTAACAATTATAAGCAGCCAAACAATCAATCAATATGAACACTCAGCGAAGTAATTTACGAATATACTTTGGGAAATTCATATTCAAAGCATCCCCTCAGATAGCTATTACTAATATATCAGGCCCAACGAGACATAGTACGAATGAAACAAGCCAACAAGTGAGATGACATCATATATACAGCACACATGCAATTGGAAGAATCAGTTTCCACCATCAATCGAAAGTCCACCAAAACAATAGCTGTATACCATTTTACACTCATAACCTTAACAAAACATAGAAACATATTGTAGGTAGAAGTACCTTCACACATCTATATTCAATGAGAAACAACCATAATTCGTTACGATCCACTTATCTCGAATAAACCCAACTCCAAATGCATAAAAAATTAGCAAAATCATAACATAAATCAGTCAAGTAACAAATAAAGCACCAAACTTTCAACACCTATCACTTGACCAAATCCATTTCCAGTTCACCAATCTCCACACAACACCACATTAAACCAAAACGCAAACAACCCACTAACTCCATAGAGCTTTAAACAATCTCCAAATATATTTTTCATAACGGACAACAAAAATTCCAATTCCATCGATCACAGCAACTTACCAACGGAGGAGGAGGCTATAGCAGAACCACACCCGAAGGTCTTGAAACAAGCATCAACGATCTTCCCGCTCTCCTCGTCAACCCTGATCTGTAGTTTCATCACGTCGCCACAAGCCGGAGCTCCGACGAGACCCGTGCCGACGTTCGGGTCGCCCTTGTCGAACGACCCGACGTTCCTCGGGTTCTCGTAGTGATCCACCACCTTCTCGTGGTACATCCTCAGCGCCGGCGCCGCAGGGGATCGAAGCCCACGTCCCAGAATCTTGTTCGCTCCGTGCTTCAACATTTTGGATACAATAATTTTGAGAATCGAGTTGCAATTGCTCTGTACCTAGGGTTTGTTAAATTGCGGTAAAAAAAGGGGACATATTTTATTTTTTTTTTCAATTATAAAGGCGGTTAGTATTTTGACCCGGTGATAGGAATCGGGTTCGAATTTTTTCAATGCTTATCGTGAAGGGTATGATAAGGTAAAAAGGTGTTCGTGTGTTTTTAGCTT